AGTATAATTAAGAGAAGAGACTCTCAGAAGAGAGTTTGATTTTACTTTTTTGGAATCCGTACCCAAAGGGTAACCAATGGGACCCTATTACTAAGCCTCCGCTGTCCGTCCCGTCTGTCTGTCAGCGGGCTATCTCATAATCCGCAATAGGTAGACAGTTAGAATTTATACAGAATATGTATTTCTATTGCCGCTATAACAACAAATAATAAAAATAATAAAAAAATGTAGTTATTATAATAATTATTATTTAATATAAATAATAATTAATTATTAAGATAATAATAATTTCAATACATTATCCCACGGAAATCAATATCGACCACAGGATTACTTAATCACAATGTCATGCAAAATAATATTGGTTTTCGTCATTCCGGCACACAGTAATTCCCGACGATGTCGTGCAACAAAGACTACGATGTACAATATTACTTGTCAACAAATACGTGATACCTGTTGTTACCCTTAAAGCATATGAAATCGAGTCCAGTTAATTAACTCTCAATTTAAACTACAACTAAAAAGTAAGGCGAACTTACGAGACGTTCAACAAACTTTTTGCTCGCAAAAGTCGCCTTGAAATGAACTAGAGCCTTGAACGTTGGTGTTTTATTATGAAATGTCACGTTGTGCCAGACGGTACATAAATAAGACTGAATTAACTTGTCTGCGACCTCTGGAAGCGCTGCGATGAAGTTGGGTCTTCACACCTTGGATTACGTGCTGTTATGCTAAGTTTAAAGATTAACTTATAATCAATACAAAGCCTAACTTAAAATCTTATATAACAAAATAAACAAAGTAATAGATACTTTATCTAAGTATCAAAATACATCCGTATAGTGCAAAAACAAATTAATTATTGGACTTATAACCTACAATTATGAAATAATTGTGGATCCTCAATTTCTTAAATACATTAAATTATTTCATAAAGAGTGCACATATACACACAAACGTGCGCGCGCGGGCACGCGCACGCGCACGCGCGCGCACACACACACACACACACACACACACACACACACACACACACACACACACACTCACAACAAAAACTCTATGATTTTTTTTCATTATCTAAGAAGAAATAAATCATTGATAATAAGTTTATAATAGAATACGGCTACGTGTGGCCTGCTGGCTCAAGTATTTTAAATACTTAAAAGAAGGTCTCAGCTATAATACTGTATCAATTTACGTTTATGTCCTTATTACCCAATAAATATTATCATTATATCATATTATTAACGTAACTATGAAACAATGTTGACAGCAATCATACAATCTTTTTAGCTTTAGCTTCACCTATCGCGCTGGTATACTTTACAATATATATAATTAGGTAATTTGTTTTATATTGCACCAAAACGATTTTTTACAGCGCCATATTATGTTAACAAGCGTGAATTTATTATTACTTTGGTAATATATGTACTGCTTGATGATTTTAAAATAAAATGATGTATAAAGCGGAACTAGGAAGGCGTCACCGAGCAATATTGTTAAGCACTCCCAAAGGGAACATACAGAGCTGGTTATATTTAGTAGCATGATTTACGGTATGAGTCGCGCACGTGAAGTTCGTAAGATTGATTGGTGCGCTCATATGCTTCTGCTGTTCAGAGTATTAAATATAGAAGCTGTATATAAGTAATTAAAAATTCTTAAAACTAATTTATATCCACCTTCTCAATTTCCTATTTGAAAGATCATCTCAGCCGGATTTTAAGAAATCCAAATGTGTGCGTTTGCGCGAATGCCCGTACATTAACGAACTTGTCTTGCATATCTCTATAGGGAATGAGACTATCGACTCCAAACCATTTCGAAATTTTATTGCTAATTTTTTTATTATTATAATTGTTTCTGTAGTTTTTGCAAGCCTTTTATTAACATGCTTTCGTATGTCTTTCCGGCTCAAAATTTGTAACGATATATTGAAGTATGTACTTGTTAACATCCGATTTAGCTAAAATTTCGCATACTTTGTTAACCTCGGTGATAATGCGATACTGTGGAGCTGATCTGATTATGCATCCGGATGGTGGCCCTAGCAAAACCTATAAAAGCTTTTCTTTAAAATAATATTTTAAACAAGTTAATAAGGCAGTCCGAATCCCGGCAAGTTATAAAAACAGACTTAATTAATCTTTATAATTGTTTTTAAAGTAGTAAAATTGTTACTAAAACAATAATTGGTAAGACAGAGTGCGTCGCACCGAAATTACCGAGTCATAACAACCAACGGCGGGTGATTCATCCGTCGAAGCAAAATATTTGGTTTCGGTGCCGCGTGGGCGTAGGACAGGTGAATAAGCCTCGTCCGCGTAGAATTTGAGCTATTTACTGTTAGCTGATTGACATGTAACTCTCGATCACTCTATCAATAATTTTCCGTCGTTTACACTTGATACTAATATATGCGAAAGGTCAAAGATTTTGGAAAAGTTCTTAGTTATTTTTAAATGTTTTTCACGGACGTTACGTTAGTGTGGTTACAAAATTTATTACATTGTAAAACGATGATTTTTAAAATAACATTCTTTTGCAATGTTTTAATTTATATATTTTAAAATATTAAAAAAAAAATCCAGATGATACGGTTATTTAAAAATACTCTCAGGTTTAATTTAAGGATGTCAGTAAAGGTGGTATTATACATGATCAAACAAACTTCTAAGTGAAGTTCGATCAGTATTATAACATCTATATATATCTTTGAATAATGTTACGAAATAATAATTTCGTAACATAATTTAACAATGCCGAAATTTAAGAAAAATAATTTGAAATATTACTGAGAAACCATGTTGACCTCCAGGCGTTTAGATTGTTTCTGATAATCTTCAGGTGTATCAGGTGTATTGTTTACTATAATTGCACCTCGTTCGGTAGAGGGCAATTAATTACTCCTTCACATAAAAAGAATATACATAAGCCTTCTCAAGAATATGCAAGCTCATATTGATCAAACTTAGTTGACGTGTGAGAATGACCTCACTCAGAGTCAGACTCAGTTGTAACGGTGTTCTGCATAACGCTGTGAAATTTTGTTACAGCGTTATAAAAAGGTTTTATTCATTAGTCGGCCGCCAGAGCCTCTCCTTTAGTCAGTAACGTGTACCACGTACCGGCGCGGTTGGCATTTAAAGAAAAAGTTAGCATATCTCTTACACCTATTCCTACATTTCACGCAGCTACAATTAATTATCTCTAAGGATTTATGAAATTTTTTGCTCAGGATTAAAAAAAAGTCTGTTTTTAAATTCACTGTAATATGCATAAGTTGACTATATTCATTAGTATCAGAAAAAGCTTAATGACGATAAAGATTATGTTATATAATATGTCATTTAACTAAGTGTCGAATGTAGCCATATCTGAATAATTGCAAACTGCACAAACTGCATGCATGGATACAGAAGACGAGTCCGAAGGAGACCTTTGTTCAGAAGTAGATTGATCATGGATGGTAATGATAATAAAAAGTTTGAATAGCTTGCTTATATGGCTTTGGCAGTGGTGTCAAAGACAGGCGCTCGCACCTTCAAAAAAAATCTTGAAAGATAAAACGTTTTAATCGAGATTTAAGACACAGATTCTTATTTTTTTTTTTGGTGACTTCAAAGATATAATTGCGAACCGTTGCTAGGCTCAGCTTTTTATATAAATGGCCCGTTCGCCCATAGACGCCTACGCCGCGTAGGCTGCCAACAGTATCACATTACACGGCATCAGCTCCCGTAACAAAAGCTAAAATTGCCTTTAACGTGAACAAAGATTTAAATGAGGTCCTATTTCAATGTACACGTTCGGATGGGAATCACTTAAACGTGTAGCCATAATCCCGTGAGTACGGCACGAGCTAATCGATCTTGGCTATTCAACCTTTTACACCAAACCGAAAGTGATGAGGCGAGAATTGGAAGCTTATTCATATAAACTTGAAAAGTACAATGGGAATATTTTATTGGGAATATTATATTTTTTATAAAGTACAATGGGAATATTGTTTAAGCTAACTACTATTATTTACGTAATACAGAAAAGCTAAAAATAATAAAAAATTGCAATGTCCTTAAAATATTTGTCTGTTTAATATTCTTTTTCCCCAAAAAAACATTACAAGGATTCGGGAAAGGGAATTTTTAACCACTGCGTGACAGCAAAGACAGGGTAATGTTTTTTACCCATATCTGGGCATGTATGCAGGATTCTTAATACCCTCATAGCGTCCTAACGGCTGGATGGATTTTAATCAATGAGGTGTCTACTGATTTATCTAAACCGTGCATTATAGGTTAGGATTTATTTTTATAAAATCAAAATGGCGGTAGAGGTGAAAAAAATAGCGTACTGTGTAGTAGTGACAGACGAAATTTTTTTATAGAATAAGCGTGACAAACGAGCACACGTGACCCAGAGACATCTACATTTATCCTCAATTAAGAATCAAAATGCAGATGCGTTGTCACCCCTGAGGTCTGAGATAGAATGCCCAGTTTCCAGTAAAAGGGGTCTCCGGTTCTCTACCCTCACCGTACAAACGGTTTCAAAAGCGGTACAATCCGGTAGAAACCTAGTACAATCGAATGGAATTCATAAAAATTAATTGTGTAAACTAAACTAGTTGCCATTTTTACATAGGTAAAAAATACTACCTACCACCTAGTGAGGGCAGATAATATTTCCTAGACTATTTTACAGGCATAAGGTCCATCTAAATATTACGCAACATGAAAGTTGTGTAGGTAGAATGTCTACATTTTACTTGTTAGCATTTAAATGCGGTCGGATGTTTTAATAATAATTTGATTTTTGTACTACTATTGTCTGTGTTTTTATAAAAAACTGTTATACTACAACATAATCAGGCTTAATACCTGAAATTCTTCACCGTAACTTTATTTAGTGTTTAATTAAGTATATATAAGTCTTAATCGGAATCCAATGAAAATTCAAGGCAAATAAACAACTGTTTCCCTTTGTTGCAGTGGGCGTTGTCGGCGGCGGCATGCCAGAGGCCGCCGGCGGCGAGAGGCGGCATGTCCCGCTGTACGGGCGGCTGGTGGCCGAGGAGCAGTTGGCGTCCATGAGCGCGCCTTCCGACATTCAGGTGAGCGCTAGAGCGCGCAACACCCGAGCTTTCTGCCGCTACCGTTACCCCCCTCAGGTAAATGACGCACGAGGCGGTTTGAACACACACACCGTCCACTGCACCGGACCGTGCACTCACCGTAACTTCTAATAAGCCGCTAATGACGAAGTTTCTTTTGTGTAACTTATGTTTTTATTTGTTTTATTCCGTTTTAGTAGGTTTACGGGTGCACGGTCCGGTATAGTAAGCGGAGACCTTGGTACGGTAAACACTACTCAATTAATTAAACGAATTCTGAATGCACATAAGTCAATACAGCGACTTGATTGGTTTAGTATCCTCATTGTAATACTTGAACGACTTTTGAAATCAGTCTGCAACTCCTAGTGATATAAATTGCATCGCAAACTACGACTGTCTGAGGGACGTGGAGGACAATAACCCGCGGAGAAACTCGCTTTGAAATTGTTGACTAATTGAGAGACAAGTAGCGAAGGGTATGGCTAAAACTTTAGGAAGATAATTTAACTAAACAAAATGCGTATAAATAACATTTATTAAAAAAATACTGTTGTTCATAAAAAACCTAACCCTAAACGGAGTTGGCCTATTGTTGTATTAAGAGCATCATTAGTAATGCGGAGTCTCACTCGGCATTATGCAAAAGTAAATAAATTAGCCCTCAAAGTGGCACTAATTGTCTACTACAATTCGTTGCTCTTTAACGGACTAGTGATGTATTCAGTATTGACTACAGGTTAATAGAAGTCGTAATCCAGTTAATTAATAAACGACCTTATTTGAAATGCCCTGCGCGAAACTGTCGGGTTTCTTTTTTTATTTGTACTTGCGGTTACAGAAACATTGTACGTATTATACTATATACAATTAATCGTAATTATCTTGTAATTCCTTGTAATTCCTTTAAAATGTAGTTATTTTGTCGCCAACTCCTAGAGTATTGTAATCGTTAGGCAATTAGGTTATTGACACTTTTTATTTATAATATATAGATAGATGTTAAATAAAACCGTCTCGTGTGTATCTCTCGCTTTTAACGTTTTATCTTGTTTTAAAATCAGCATTGTTGTCTTCTGTTTCACTATAGTTTTTTTTTTTAAGTTAATGCTTTCCGAACATTTTGTAGACCCATTTCGTCATTATTATCTATTGTATAATTCAAATTCTTCACTGCATTCATATTTAAAATTATTTATTATCAGTTTACCTTATAGCTTTAATTGTGTCTGCTTTTAGTTATAGAGTAGTAGTATACATTTAGAATTTTTGCATCCACAAAGCTCAGCTCACATTTTAAAACTACCATCATATTTTCACCATTTGGCGCTTTACATTATTATGCTTGCTAGTTTTTCAGATCTGTTCTTTTGTTTTGACCCTAATCATCATTTCTTTTGTCTGTCTAGGCTATGCAAGCACGGATACCACATCACTTTCGGGATCCGTCAACAGCACCGTTAAGGAAACTCAGCGTGGATCTTATCAAGACATATAAGCACATTAATGAGGTACGTCTAGAATTATACTTGATTGTATTGTTAAAGTCTACTTAAATATATTTAGTTTTACGAACACTACATATTGAATGCAACTAGTTTATTACGGGTGTTATCGCGTTTAATTACCCTATTTTATACTACCGACGTTTCGAGTACTTGCAGCAGGCAGCACCCATGGCAACGTGTCCATGGGTGCTGCAAGTACTGAAGTATTCAACGAAAGTTATAGATTTTTGCCCGAGCTACACAGAATGCTTGGATTGAAATTGAATTTTAATTATAGGATCATATGGTAGTTATCTTCTTCATTGAATATAGAATGATATTTGATTTCAATAGCTTCACGAAGCATCCTTGTTAGGGATCGGTGTTCTTTTGCGAGGCTTTGTGGTCTATGAAATCTGATGTAATGTCGGGTGCGATCCTGTACGTGTTCACAGATTATGGTATAATTTTTTAGTATTCTTAAATTGGCTACGTTTGCTATGCAATATTTTATATGTGGTAGAGCCATGCTGCAGCTATATTAGTAGTATCTATAGTTGTAGCACGAATGTGTCGACTCGACCGGGGAAGGACCACACTCTCACAGAATACCAGCGTGAAATAGCAGCTTAAAACTGCTGTGTTTCGTATGGTGAGTGTTGAGAACCGGAGACCCTTTTTACTGGAAAAGAAGCATTCCATCTTAGTCCTCACGGGTGACAACGCATCTGCATTTAGATTTGCAAACGATAATGGTTGTAGATGTCTATGGGCCACAGCAACCACTTACCATCAGGTGGACAGTGTGCTCGTTTGTCACCCTATCCTATAAAAGAAAATATACACGTTTTCTTATTCTGTCTTCTAAAGAAATTCTAAATATTTCTAAATATTAGTTTACAAGAAAACCACATTTAAATAATACATAATACATTTAGGAAGCAATTGTACCCTAATTAATGGCTAAGGGGACTGTAATATAAAAAAGTCGTGGGTTCGAATTCCCCGATCGACTACCACTTATAGCAAAAGCAAAAGTTAGTAAAATTATTAGTAATGTCAATATCATTGCAAGTTACCTTCAAAAAATAAACATTTTGTCACATTCAAGTTATAACTGGATCGATTCAAAAAAGGAAAATTATATTTGCTTTACACTTTACTTTTTGTTACGAGGAAAAATTTCAAAACCCACGTTTTAAATGAGGCCATTAATTGAATATTAATTCTTATAATATACTTACCACTCATCGGTCCGTAAAATAGTCCAGTACTGCAGCACATGTGTCGGTCTCGTAATAGGGAAATAAATAATTAATAATTATTGCATTTATTTACAATAGTTTCTGACAGACAGCAATCTATACAAATAAATAAAATTGAAGTGTCTGTTTGTAATGTCAAAATAACAGCTTTTTACTAAATGCATATCAAAGTATATACGGTACATATAACAAAAACACAATTTCTAAAATTTTTGTCTGTCTGTCTGACTGTCCGTTTGTTCCGGCTAATCTCCGAAACGGCTGGACCGATTTTGACGGGACTTTCACTGGCAGATAGCTAATATTATAAGGAGAAACTCAGGCTACTTTTATTTTAGAAAAGTTATTAGGGTTCCGCGCAAAAAAATTTAAATCCATAATATCTAATCGTAATAAATTACACGCGGGCAAAGTCGCGGGGCACAGCTAGTAGAAAATAAAATAAAAGTCTTGCTGAGTGCGCGCTTTTATTTTATTTTTCTAGAACTAGAACTCCCAATACCATCCACACCATCTGGATGATGACCGCCAATCATCCAGATGGTGTGGATGGTATTGGGAGTTCTGCCGCGATGTGCGTTCGTGAAATTTGGCGGCTGGGATTAATCCGAACAATTCCTCAGAGCACTCCCCATGGTAGATACGAAAGAAAATGCAAAGGGATGCAACATCTCTTCGCAGTGCCAAAGAATCGAGCCGATCGGTTCGAAAGGGCTCGGTCGTCGACTATTCGAGCCACTCTGCGCTGGATGCGGTCAAGTGGAAGGAGCTGGCACTGGGGAGCCCCTGCCCAGAGATGGGAACAGTATTCCATGTGAGGCCGAACCTGCGCCTTGTAAAGTTGCAGGCAGTGTGCCGGCATGAAATACTGTCCCGCTCTGCTGAGCACGCCAAGCTTTTTAGAGGCCAATTTGGCCTTCTCTTCCAAGTGACCACGAAATTGCACGTCACTCGATATGTCGACTCCGAGGATACCGATACTGGCTGAGGCAAGAAGGGGAGTGCCTTGAAACTGAGGAGATACGACAAAGGGATTCTTTTTAGCGGTAATCGCGCAAACTTGTGTCTTCTGAGGATTAAACTGGAATAGATTTAGTCGTCCCCAATCCGAGACTTTGTTCAGCAAAGACTCGACTTCAGACACAAGTTTGTTCCGGTACTCGGCGACGTTTTCCCGAGAAATATTGGCACGGCCGGTGTATAGAGCATCACCAGTGCTGTCATCCGTATAGCAATGAATGTTACCAGTTAGCAACATATCATTGATATGCAGAAGAAACATCGTTGGTGATAGCACACAGCCTTATGGAACACCAGCGTTAATAGGCTTGTAGTCAGAACATGCACCGGCTACAACGACCTTGATGCTCCGATCTGCAAGGAAGCTGGTGATCCAATTGCACAATTTCTTGGCAAGCCCATAGGAAGGGAGCTTCGAAAGAAGCGCTTTGTGTCAAACCCGATCGTAGGCCTTCGCAATGTCCAGACTAACGGCCAACGCCTCCCGCTTGGACTCTACTGCCTCCGCCCATCTATGGGTCAGGTAGACCAGAAGATCACCAGCTGATCGACCCCGACGAAAACCGTATTGGCGGTCACTAATCAGCTGGTGATCCTCAAGGTACCGGATGAGCTGGCAGTTAATAATGGATTCCATTATTTTGGAGAACAAGGAGGTGATCGCGATAGGCCTATAGTTGGATGGGTCTGAGCGGTCGCCTTTTTTAGGGATCGGGTGGACAAAAGCTGTCTTCCATTAATTCGGAACTACGCCTTGGGAGTCGGAGTACCGGAAAAGACGCGTTAGGGCCAGTGCCAACTCCGGAGCACACGTCCTCAGCACAATTGGGGGGACTCCGTCAGGCCCACTCGACTTCTGGATGTCCAGGGAGAGAAGTGCTTTGCGAACCGAGCGCTGTGAGAACAGCACATCCGGCATGGAGCACTACACCGCGGGATGTTCGGCGGTGTTTTCCCCTCGTCATCAAGAGTCGTGTTGGACGCAAAAAGGGAGCCTAAAAGGTCGGCTTTGTCTTTTGCGGCTTGGGCCAGTGAGTCATCCTCCCTGTGCAGAGATGGTAGTGATGGCTTACAAAAATTCCCTTGGACAGCCTTGGCGAGAGACCAGAATGCACGGGTTCCCGAAGGAAGGCGAACTAGTTTCTCGCCAATTCTGCCTATGTGCTCTGACTTTGCCTTGGCAATAACTCTTTTGAAGGACCTAGAGGCGAAGTTATACTTCTTTTTAAGTGTGCTGGTGTTTACATTCCGAGTTGCCGAAGCCGCAGCCCAGGCTTGATAACACTCCTGCTTACTGGGTAATGCAGTCTTACAGAAGCGACCAAACCAAGGCTGAGATCTGCCTCCGATGGGTACCACAGATGATGGAATAAATAGTTCCATTCCCTTGTAGCACACATCAGTGACAGAATCAGCAACAGCGCTGGGATCATCCGGCGAGAAGCAAACCCGCCCCCATGGGTAGGATGCAAATTTTTAAATAGCATTAATCCATTTTTTATTTATGTAATTTCAATCTTATTTTGAATTTCTTAAAATCTTGTTTTTTTTTTCTTCTTTTTTCTACAATTTGGACTTTTTTCGATTTTAAATATATAATATATATATATATATATATATATATATATATATATATATATATATATATATATATATATATAATATTTTAATTTTATACAATAAAGTCAAAAAGAGTCCTGTAGATATCAGCTCTAAGACTCCCTCAGGAAAAGATGATGCGATGACGGAGTTTTACGTCGTCACTAACAACGCAATTAGTTATTGTATTTGGGAATTTGTGTTTTACTTGCATACACATATTTTTATATTATATCGTAAACGGGGAAACTATTGGTCAGCCTTGTTATTGTTTACGTTTTTAAAGTCACGCGTGTGTTGTGACATACCCTACCTATATTTGCTTACGCGTTAATTGTAACACGGAAATGAACAAATATATTTCTTATTCGTGGTTCAAGCCAATTTTAATGTCATAATTTTAATTGTGTTTACTAAAAATAAAGCCAATAACAACGCGGCCTTTTCCGACGCCCTGGGCTTTCCAACCCGTTCCAAGCAGTGCGGCCGGCGTGGGAGCGAAATTTATAGCAGCTTTGATAAAAAAAGCTCAATGAACTTGTAAACTGCTCAATGAAATAGTGACCGAGTTATTGCGGCGTCGATTTAAAAATGTAATATGTACGATAGCGCAAAGAATCATTTGAGAAAACTTTGCAAATGTTTCGTCTTTGACGGTTATTGGTTTAATATTAAATCAATTAATTTAGAAAATCATTCATCATTGAAAAGTAAAATAGTAACTTTAAGTACCTTTATTGTTACCTATAGAATTCTATATTTTTGTTTTTGTCCTGCAAATTTGTGAATCATTGAAATAACAGAGTAATAGACAGCTAAAAACTACATATTGGTGCCATTCATGTCTTCCTGCCACTCCCCATGACTAGATCTAACAACACCCACGGGATGATTGATTTGGTTAAGACACTACCACATGGCAAAGCAATGACTCGTTTATATTAAACAGTAACGACAGACCACCATTCCTTTCATAATGTTATGCCCTATTACTTAATTTTACACCATATTATTTAATATTACTTCAGCAGCAAAGTAAAGTTAAACACAAAAATATTTTATTTAGTTTAGGATTATCAAAAGCTATTGTGAATATCAAAATCTACCACTGCTTCAAAAAGTGAGACCTCTACAAAGAAGAACCGATGAGAAACACTGGTGTATTATATTCTGCCATCTTTTTTA